TTGGGTGCTCTGTCTTTAAAGATGTTGCTGAAGTATATGTCGTGTAGTGTTTGACCCATCTTTGCTTCTAGGTATTTTATGCTTTCCGTTCTTATGTCTAGGTCTTTAATCCAAAGTGATAATATTTTTTATGTAGTGTGCTTTTTTAAAGGAAAAAATGGTAGATCAGTCTCAGAATTTGTAAAATTGGAAATGTTTCACCATAGAGTAATTTAACATTGAATTGTGTTCCTTTGCTGAATATTTTTGAACAGTGAAGTTATTTAGTGTGTTTTCATATGATTTTTAGTATTAGCTAGATTTAACAAAACTGATGAAATTAAAGATATATTTTACTTAGCTTTCTTTAGTGCTCATGAGATTTTTCTCTCAGTATTTAATCTTCTGCCCTCTCTGGTGGTGCAAGGAGTTAAAGTGCAGCACTATGAAGCTATCTGTAGCCATTGCAGCATAAGTTCAATCCCGGGCCAGGGAGGTGGCCCACATGGTGCAGAAGACCTCTCCAGCCTCGCCCACTGCTCCCCTCAGCAGTGTATTTTAGTCAGTTTGCCTGTTCTGTTCCCCCCTCTGTCTCTGGTGAATATTCTCACCCCCACCACCTCGGGCCTGTACTCCAGTTCTTGTATGTATAAATATATAAATCTTTAAAAATAAATAAAAGGCATCTAAAATATTGATTAACTTTTAAGTTCCCTTTAAAGTATAAACATCAATGCTTTTATCACTTCTACTTAATAACCCTCTTTGGTTTTCCACTCTGTATCAATGCCAGGATCACATTTTGCTAATTAGTATTTAAATATTTTTATAGAGATATTCTCAGGAGAGGGCCAACTGTTATATGGCCGATGAGACTAATGGTCTATGAAATATGACATATCTTAGTTACCATTTAGAGAGTTGTATAATTCTACTTCAGAAAATTTTTATAAGACACTTCGTTGGGCAGGATATTAGAGATCTGTGAGCCATCCCTTCAATGCAGCAGTTTCCTTGCGGCATCTTTGCTGGCTGGCATCTTGACTTGCTTGACTTTTTGTAGTCCTTGCCTTGAGACAGTCTTTACCATTGTAAGACAACTCTGCATAATAGGAAGGTTATTGACCTAAATCTGCTCCCTTTTATATTTGTAAGCTTTCATCTTCTTCCATGAAGCCACATCAAACATTCTGTGTGGTAGTGATTTGTGATAGTATAAATGAAAGCATGAGAGCATATGTGTATTTGAAAGAAAATGATGAGAATTTAGTTAGGTTTTAGTAGAGGAAGAGGATATCATAGGAGACTTATTTTACTCTCTGTGGTGTGCCAGAGGAAAAAGAGTATTTGATTATAGGCTAGGTTAGATGTACTTTTAGGGGATCCATTTCTGATTCAAGTTAGTATAGTGGAGGTAGAGAAGGAGGTGCTGCATCTGGAATAATGTATGTTAATGGTGAAAAGAAAATTAATTTTAGTGCATTTCATAGTATTATTTTAGAGAAAAATATAATGAATACATATAGGTACATTCAAGAGAGGACATTTCAGGAAACCACACTAGAAGACAAAAGCATGAATCTCATACCACGTTTTTCTGATCCTGAAGAGTGACATTTTCTCTTTAATTTTGTTTGATGATGCTTAATTTCACTGTTCTCTTCTTTTTAGCTAAAATGAGTACTAGAAAAAAAGTTCATGCATTTGTCCGTGTCAGACCCACTGATGACTTTGCTCATGAAATGATCAAATACGGAGATGACAACAAAGTAAGTACTTGTACTTACACAGTACCCGCCTGTGGGCCACTCTTGGCCTACCTTGCTATGTAGGGTGATGCTGTTCCAAACCATCTTTTAAGTACCAAGACAGAATTCATCAGATTCAGATGACTCTAGAATTCATCAAGTCCAAATCACTGCTTCATGCTACTGAGGAGGAAACTCATGAAACTCCTGTTTTAAAAGTGTCTCTTTGGTTAATGCATTTATCTTTATCCTGTGTCCAACACAGAAAAAGAGACATTTATGCATACTCATGAAACTTTCTGGTGACCACATCTGCCATTGACATGATTTCCTGGGGTGTACAGTTAGAATATCTTAAGTGATAACTTAAACTTACCCACACAGTGGGAGAAGCTCTTACTTAGAGAACTGTGTCCTCACCTCTGTCCTGAGCACCTTTCTGAAGCTGTCACTGGCTTAGCAGTTTGAAAGTGTTACATGTTTGAATTCTGAAAACAAAGGTAGGTCTACTATGGGCAGCACTGAGATGTTCTTCAAGAGGAATTCAAGGGCAATGCGTTCCTTGAAAGTTCTAACTAAATAATGAAAAGTTCCCTTGAAGTCCTGAGTCCTGTGCTGTTTACGCTGCTGGACTTGCATCGAGCATTTAATAGGTGAATGAAATAAACCTTTCTCCCTTGATCTTTCTTTGTCTGTATGTAAATTAGAACAACCAGCAAAAGATTTCAATGGGATTCACATTACATCAGAAGTCCCCATTGTAAAGATTGGAATCTATCATTGACTTAACCCAATATATTCCTAAACCAGCTGCTGCCACAGTAGGTTACTATGAAAGGAGCAAAAAATCCTAAAACTTTTTCCAGAAATCTTTGCATCTGAAAATCCACTGAAGACAAATGGACACCCCCCAATATTCTCTTGATACTAGTGAGAGACTGGATAAGAAGTCCAAAGCCTCTCTGCAGTTATTTTATTATTCACATTGACACATAGGGTATGGTGAGACTATGTTCTCACCACAGTACGGAGGCCTCACCATCAGTAACCAGACAGATTGGGCTCACACCCAGCCCTCTGCCACCAAGCCCACTGTTCTCTCTGACTTAATTCAAGCTCTCCCTGTATTTATTGAATATACCTAAAGCTTATTTAATAAGAATGTGATAAATGTGTTTAATGTCATATCATACATGGGGGGACCAAGATGAGCACCCTATAAACTAGATTGAGATGTTTTGTCCCAACTTCTGTGACCGGCTGCAAGAAAGGAAGGCAGGAGGCAGAAAGGCTGAGCAAGAAGAGTTTATTGCACCAGGACAGCAGCTAAGACGGAGCCCCTAGAGTGGGGTCCGCAGCTACTGCCAACTCAATAAGGGGGAAGGGTCTCTTATATAGATTCTAAGTTCACATTCCAAAGGGGTGAGTCATCGCTGTGTCCTTTGATGTAAGGCCCAGTTTGTTATCACCTTTAGCTAGTCCCATCCCATATGCAAGGTCCCCTTTAATTGGATGCAAGGCCCCGTTTGTTACCGCTTTATCACCTTTGGATGCAAGGCCTGATTTATTACTACCCTTGTCTAGTCCCTCAGTAAATCTCCGCATTTGGTCACTCCCAACACTGAAGCTAGTATATCCTCCAGTCTTGTCCCTAATCAAAGGTCATCTGACCTCCCTGCACAGCTTCCTTCTGGAACCACACCAAAGAAATTCAGAATATTAATGTCCAGCCCACAGGTGTGAGTACCCATTTTTCCTAAAATTCACTTTCTCTGTTTTCTCACATCAGTTCTCAACTGTCAGTGATATTTTTTAATACCAATTTCCTAATGAATATCTGTTTCCCTCTCTATTCTCTTCCCTCCTCCTTCTCCCTTTCCCTTTATCTTTTCCTAGAGCATTGATATTCACTTGAAAAAAGATACTCGGAGAGGAGTTGTCAATAACCAGCAGACAGACTGGTCGTTCAAGTTGGACGGAGTTCTGCATGATGCCTCTCAAGACTTGGTTTATGAGACAGTCGCAAAGGATGTGGTTTCTCAGGCCCTCAATGGCTATAATGGTAATTTAGTTCATTAACTGTTGACTTGCCTAAGAACTTGTGGCCACCCTCCTGGAGGAAGAGGTGCAAATATTTCATAGTTAATAAAATAAATTGTAACTTCATTTACTAACATTTGTTTGCTTATTTGTCTCCCTGTTCTTATGTTACTGTTTGCTTGGTAACATTGTGGGTATGGCTTGATTCCTGGATTCCTATCTTCATAGGAAGATAAACTCACTGCAACTCTGTGTAGGTCATAGGGATGTAACTATTATCTTGTTTCAAATCTCTTAAATATTAGTTTTGAAGATAATATCCTTATGATGAATTTGATGGAATCTAAATATTTTTCTGTTGCTTACCTACTAAGCCATTTCCACTCATTCTACCAGTATAATCAATATATTGTGCAGATTTTAGTATAGAATTTTATATATATATATGTCATATATATATATATGTCATGAGAAACATGAGTAGAATTTGATTTTCTTAACAAATTAAAGCAGGTTTATTGGGATAAATATTTATATACTTGTTCATCCGAAGATTGTTTTAAAATCTTAAAAAGATGTTAAAGTCCTTAGAAAGGCCATTACAATGTGTAGACGTACTCTGCCCTTCTTGTGGCTGTTGACTAGAATGTTCCCTGTTTGCAAGTTTCAAGTCAATTAAGTGAAGATACAGCCCAAACTTTGTAATGGGTCCTATGTTTTCTGCATAGGTATGATTCCACTCTGACCCTGAGGACATATGGGCCTGATGAGATATAGAGAAACTTAGGCCCAGAGAGGCTAAGGGTCTTGGGCCCTGGATGCTCTGGAACCACAGATAGATTCTGAGCTGCTTATGTGTGTTGAGTTAATAGAAACCTTTTCTGGCTCCAGTTCAGATGCTGATTAGAGACCCTGACTAAAACCTACCTATCCTAGGATGCTTTAGTGACTGAGCACTGCCTAGGCAGATCTGCTGTATAAATACCCAGAAGCAACCTTTGGGGCTGGGGCTGGGGCTGGCTCAGGGCTGCCCAAACCAGAAGGAATAGCAGGAACTGGAGTCCCAGGTGACTGTGTGGTTTATATCCTAGATCATGGTGTGATGATCGACCTAAAGGATCTGAGAGGTGTAAGAAGAAGTGCCTCCCAGAGAGGGCAGTGGGACCAGACCAGGAACTATTTCTAGTGGTCTGTTTCTGGAAATGGCCGGGGGCCAACTGTCATTCTTGTTGGTCCTGTGGAAACTTGTGAAAGATTCTCACCATTGACAGGAAATATCCTTCTTAGTACCATCCCTTCTCGGGGCTTTGAAAGCCTTTCTTCCCTGCTACCCAATCAGCCCCCCAGGAAGGCTTAGCCCCGAGACCACAGCAATTCACGGCCTTGTTAACAAATGGCTGGAGTTTGATGCTCATTATCTTCCTCAATTTCTTTTTTTTTTTTTTTTTAGAAAATTACCAGTATGTCTATTTCTAGTACTCCCTGCCCTTCTCAGAGCTTTACCCTCAGATCATTGCTTGGTAGAAGGAGCAGTAAATGGACCACAGATTCAGAGCAGCTGTTTGTTTTGACCATTTATCTTCATGTTTCCCTGCCCACTACCCTCATGGGCAGGAATGCTGATGCTGCTGTCCTGGACTGTTCCCGATGGCTACCTCCATGCCAGGTTCCTGGCAGACACTAAGCATGCTGGGGATGGGAGCACTGTCCTTGGATCTTTAACCCCCTGGATGTCACCAAGATGTGTTTTGAAATATTTGCAGGCACCATCATGTGTTATGGGCAGACAGGAGCTGGCAAGACATACACCATGACGGGAGCAACTGAGAATTACAAACACCGGGGGATCCTCCCTCGTGCCTTACAGCAGGTAGAGAGTGGGCCCGAGGGTGGGATGCCACACATGTCCTCTCTCTCTACCATAGATGTAGCCAGTCCTATGCCAGTTGCTGGAGACAGTGGGACAAAGGAGTTTCGTGCTGTCTGGGAGGCAGGATACACGGGTGTAGTGGTACTGGGGTAGTGGTGTAATGGTGGGGTGTGTGTGTGAGTGTGCGCATATGTCAGAGGCCTCAAAAAACTAGGAGTTCAGGTTTCAGACTCTGAATCATGCCCGGCTAAGCTATTTCCTTATTTGTGAAAGAGGGAGTTGGACGTGCTGACTGACTTCTCAAGCTGTTCTTGTCTATAATGCCATCGTTGAGCTCCTGTTGTTTTTCTTTAAAATTTAAAAGGGCAGGTATATTCAGAAAAGGAGTCAAGGAGGAGAGCTGGACTTTCTTGGTTTAAATAAGAAGGATACAAACCCTTGCAGATCTTTCTAACTGGCCTGTCCTGGCTTCCTCCACCACCTCAGCCCCAGAAGGAGGAAAAAGGAGGAAACAAAACATGGCATGAGCTTTAAGGACTGAAAATGAGGCTGAAGACAGGCAGAAGAACCTTCTTTTGGGTTTGCTGCATTCTGTGAGGACCCTCTCGATTTGGAGGGCTTTCCCCCACAAACACCTTGGGGTTTGATAGTCCTGTACTATAAAACGTATAAATGTCCATCTAGTGTATAAATCACTTATGCTTTAAGATTTGAAGCAATATCCTTTATATTCCACTGTCAAAGCTTCACTATCTTAGCATCTTCAACTTTAATATCCTAGTAGGATACTGCCTTATAGAAATATAATGTAAGTCATATGTGCAATTTTTAATTTAATTTTCCTGTAACCACTGTTTAGAAAGTAGAACTGGTGAAATTAATTTTTCTAACATAATTCTTTTTTTTTAAGATTTATTTATTTGGGCCCTCCCTGGTGGCACACCTGTTAGGATGCAGCATTGCAAGCTAGCCACAGCCACTGAGTGTGAGTTCATGTGTGTGTGTGTGTGTGTGTGTGTGTGTGTGTGTGTGCGCGCGTGCACCCCACTTGGCGCAGTGGACCTCTCCTGTCTTGAGGTCCGCTGCTCCCCTCAGCAGTGCACTTCCTTGATCTGCCTGTTTTGCTCCCCACTCTGTCTCTGGTGAATCCTCTTACCATCCCTGCATCTTGGGCCTATATCTTTTTTTAAAGATTATAAATTATTATAAATACATCTTTTTTTTAAAGATTTATTTATTTATGCAATACAGAACTGGGGTACAGACCTGAGGTACAGGGCCAGTGAGAGGACTCACCAGAGACAAAGTGAAGCAGAACAGGCAGATCGGTAAAGTACACTGCTGAGGGGAGCTGTGTGCAGACGGGAGAGGTCTGCTGCGCCTTGTGAGTTACCGCCTGTCCGGGGATTGAACTCATACTGAAGCACAAAGGCTGGCTGGCTTCATAGTGCTGTGCTTCTACCTTTTGTGCCACTAGAGAGGGCCCATAATTTTAATGATATATTAACTCCATATATCCAAGATATCATTTCTACTTACAATCAATATAAAAATTATTGAGCTATTTTGCATTCTCTTTCTCATACTAAGTCTTTGAAATCTGTAGTATATTTTACTCTTAGGGCACATTCGAATTCAGCCACTAGTTATTCTCTGGAAATACTTGATCTATATTTACATTTCATAACATTTGCAGTTAAAAAGGTAGTTTTATATACCCAAGTTATTCCAAGTACTGTTAAAAGTTAACCAGTTATTGGATTTAGTATGTCTTCACATTTATATTTAAATTAAAGTGAAGTAAAATTTAAAATTCAGCTGACGTGCATGAGCCACAGTTCAAGTGCTCAACAGCTGCAATGAACATTTACCACGTTAGATGGTGTTGCTCTGGACAACAATTCGGGGCCTCAGGCATCATCCACCCCAAATAAGAAAACTAGGTACAGAGAGAGGGATAGACTAGTGCCAAATCACTTGCTGATAAGTCTGGAGGGAAGGTATTAGAAATAGAGAAGAATGAGTTCTGGCCTGGCTTTTATCCTTAGTATCTGAGACTGTAGACACATAGTTGTACTGCATAGAACTTTCTACAGATAAGTATTATCCCTGCCCTGCTTCATTCACTGGGTTGTTACAAGGATGGAAGTTAATAGTGGATATGAAAGAGGCTTTTATGAGATCTATAAAATGAGATCTTACTCCAGACTCTTTTCCATTCATGATGCTTCTACTTCTTGGGACTATACAAGTACTAGCCAATCTGAAAGTCGGGCTTCAAAAAGCTAAGAGAGAAGAATAAGTATCACCCAATAGATTACAAGTAATAATTGTTGATGATGATGATTGTCATACCAACTGGACTATAAATTCTTTTAGGACAGGGTTTTTAAGATTTTCCTAGTGTACTTTTTGATGTTCAATCCTGAGGTAAGAATCCCTAATCACCACAGTTTTGTTCTTGATCACAACTGTGTAATCTCCCATCTAGGTTTTTAGGATGATTGAAGAGCGTCCCACACATGCCATCACTGTGCGTGTGTCCTACCTGGAAATTTATAATGAGAGTCTGTTTGATCTCCTGTCCACGCTTCCCTATGTGGGGCCCTCAGTCACACCAATGACCATCGTTGAAAACCCTCAAGGGGTCTTCATTAAGGGCCTGTCCGTCCACCTCACAAGTCAGGAGGAGGATGCATTCAGTCTCCTTTTTGAGGTGAGATGATCAAGCCTAAAGATTTCTTCCTTTCTTTTCCTCCCCCCCTCCTTCTTAGTGCAAAACCATTAATTTACTAACATTTATCATTGAATCATAAACTTAAAACAGGGCATCTCAAATGCCCAAAAGTAGATGACTGGATTTAAAAGATGTGGTACATATATCAGCAATCAAAAAAGATAAAACACATGCCTTTTGCAGCAACATGGATGGAGCTGGAAGGGATGATGCTTAGTGAAATAAGCCAGAAAGAAAAGAAAAAATACCGGATGGTTTCACTCATAGCAGGAGCATAAAGGACCAGGGAGAAAAGATAATAATAATGAACAACTATATACCAGAGACACTTTAGAGGGGTAGTGTGGGGAATGGGATCACAAATAGCGGGTGGGGAAGTGCACTGGACTATGGTGATGGCACATGGGTGATTTGGTGATGGGAAGCCCATGGAGATTATAGCTCATGGAAAAAGGCAAAAAATGATGTAAAAATAAACATTAAAAAAAAAGGTTGTAAAAAACAAACAGGGCATCTTATGGTATTTAAAATGTATGTTAAGAAAAGTTGGTTAAGTCATGTAGGTAACCTCAAGGGTGTGTTACATCTGGCTCCCTCGCATCTAGCAGGAAGAAGGAGCCTTCCAGGTGACAGCAGTAGGGCTTTCTTGCCTACTATTGCTCCAACTTCCCACCATGAAGAGTCATGTTTGCCACAGATTTTCTGTAGCTTGGGGAAAGTTAAAAGTCCAAATTTGTGAAGTGTTTACTCTGAGTAAGTATTTATTTACACCCTAGAAATAATCACTCTCCTGACTTGGTACCCTTTATCTAGTTTATAGCCTTATCATCTATGTTTCCTGAAACAGCATAATTTAATTTTTTTGAACTTATATCCAAACACTCATGTAGGGTGAATTCTATTTGCCTTAGTTCTTTTATCTTTTACCTAGATCTTATGTGAGATTCATCTATGTTCTTGATGAATAATTTTTTCATTTTTATCATTGTATTCTATTGAATATACTGCAATTTATTTATAATTATCCATTCCACTTCTGGCAGATGATTAGGTTTTCCCAGTTTGGTAATATTTAGACAACACCACTAGCAGCAATCTTGTAGGTATATATACATAAACTTGAATTTCTCTAGGAAAAGTCACATACTGCAATTGTTAAATCACAGTGTGTGTGTCTTACACTCAGGGAAAGATGCCAACTAATTTTGCACATGTAATTCCTCAACAAATTATCAGAATCCCCTTTGACTTTAAGGACCTTTTCATATATTTATTGACTATTTGGATTTTCCAGTACATGCCTTGTTTATTTTCTTTACAGGTGCCTTATACTTATTTGTATAAGTTTATATATTCTGAAAACAAGTTCTTTTTAGTTATATGTATTGAAAATATCTTCGGTTTCCTGTGGGTTACTTTCTCCATGTCTTTTGATAAACAAAATGTTTTAATTTTAGATTAGTTGAATATGTGTATATTGCTTCTTCTGAGTTTTTGTGTAAAGAGCACAAGAGAGGATCTTTAAAATCAGCTTGGACAGTCTTTATCTTTTAGATCGAGCATTTCATTCCATTTGCACTTAATATAAAAACTGGCATATCAGGTTTTAAATCTGTCATGTTACAGTGTGCCTTTCTTTGTTCCATTTGTTCTATATCTAGTTTTCTTACTTGAAAACTTTTTTACTGGATTTTAAAAATTATATTTGTTTCCTTTATTACTAGTAGGGAAGTTACATATCTCTCCATCTCTTGGTTTACCACAGAAATAACTTGTATATTTAATTAATACATACACTTCTATATGCACATAAAAATGAGTGCTTGAATAACTGTAAAATTAATATACTCTATGTGCCAGTATCAATTTTCCAATTTTGATAGCATTCCATAGTTTTGTAGGTTATCACTGGGAAAGACCGAGTGAAGGATATAAAGAACCTCCCTATATAATTTTTGGCAATTTCCTATGAATCTATAATTATTTCAAAGCAAAAGTTTAAGAATAAATATTTCTAAAAGCCTAAAGTTAATTCAAACCTACCCTGTCCCCCTGGATTCTATAAGAAGCTTAGGATTGTTGCTATGTCTTTGTTTTATACCCAACAAGTTGTTATTTTTACTATCTTCTATAGTCAGCATTCTTTTACATTTATCTGCGCAAATTTACCACTTTCTTTGCTTTTCCTTTCTTTCATCATTAACCTTAACCTGAATTCCTGCTGCAACCTCCTGTCTGACCCCTGATACTTCCCTTACTTTTGGGCAATCTCAGCTACATATTCAAAAAGAAGTTTTAAATATTCCATTATCTTTAGGTGTTTTGCAATAGGACAGTTTTTGAATATTTAGTTCATTTTATTGCTCAAAATGCCCTTCCTATTTTGAGCTGAGATGCCGTGCAAAAGACATAGGATTTGTAATTGGACACTTGAGCTTAAATCCAGGCTTCTTTCAAGCTTTAGTTAAGGCTTAGAGATGAACAAATCATCATTCTCTCCAAGGCTCTGCTCATCTGTGGCTGTGGAGACGCTAATAAATGGGAGCGGGCATTGAACCTTTACCGCAGGGTCTTGCACACAATAAGTGCTCAGTGGCTGTTGTTCAGAAGCACGAGTGTTATTGGTCAAGTAACTTCTGTTTAGAATTGAGTCAGGCATTTTGTTAGCAGCAATGATTCCTCAAAACTTGACGCTTCCCAGAGCCACATCCTTGCTGAACTTTGACAATATGAGGAAAAAGGTGAGACCTAAAGAAGCTCATTACGGGGTAGGGAACATAGAGAGGGAAAAACAGTGTGACCTGTGTGTGCTCTAGGGGCTCAGGGAGCCCCCTATAGGGTAGTCAGCCAAAGAGTTCATAGAAGAAAGGGCACTTTTTCTGACCTACAAAGATTAATTAATAGAAGCCAGGAAGACAAAGGAAGATAGCATTTCAAAAGTAGTGGACTGAAGGATAAAGATGAGGTGACCCTTATTTTCTGAGTGAATGAATTTGTAAGGTAAATAGTGGGAGACTTAGCCCAGGGTAAGTTAGGCCTGCTTCTCGGCTCAGGGCTTCCCCTCCTCTTCAAATGCTCCACTCCTACCAGAGGTCACAGCATCATTGCTTTGGAGCTTGTTCATAGCATACCTCATGGACTTTTGTGAAGACAAGAATCCCTCCCACAAGGGCCTTTTCCCCTAAAAATGGCCATTTCTACCACATCCCCTTTTGAGGTGTGGTGGAACAATTGGTCACATTAACATATTTAATGTGCTAATCCTATGAGGTAGAGGGAAGGGCCCACTGTACCTTGGAAAATAAAATTATTAAGTATAAATAAATAGCAAAAGTGTTGATTTTTCCTGCTTTAAAAAGTAGCAGTTTTCATTTTACCCGGGTGGAGTGGGGAATGGGATAAAAAATGGGGCGGGGGGGGAGTGCACTGGACTATGGTGATGGCACACGGGTGATTTGGTGGTGGGAAGCCCCCGGGGATTACAACTGAGATGGAAAAAGACAAAAATTATGTAAAAATAAACTATTATATTAAAAAAAAAGCAGCTTCACTGTTAAGAAAAAGTGTGAAAAAACAAGACTGTATAGAAAAGAAAAAGTAACCCATAAACCCCAGCCCAGAACAGACCATTACTAACAAAGATCTTGGTAACAGCATCTGTTTATTCTATCTTGTATGAATACATTTGTATATATTAGATTGCAGCATCATATGATTTTGTTTTTCATTCTTCCTATGTGGTATGTTACATGGATTAATTTATGCTGAATGACCTTGCAACCCAGGGATAAAGCTCACTTGACATTGGTGCATGATTCTTTTAGTGTGCTATGAAAGTCAGTTTCTGTTATTAAAAGATACTTATCTACATGTCTCTGGCTGTGTAATATTCCAAAATAGATAGATCATTCCCTTATTGTTAGATATGTAGATTAATATTCATGAATATTTTTTTTATTTGTACATACAGAACTGGGGTACAGAGGCTTAGGGGCAGTGAGAGGCTTCACCAGAGAAAGAGTGGGGAGCAGAACAGGCAGATCTACGAAGTACACTGCTGAGGGGAGCAGCGGGCGGGTCAGGAGAGGTTTGCCGCGCCATGTGGTCACCTCCTGGGCAGGTGGGAATCGAACTCATGCAGAAGTGGCTTTAGCTTCTCAGTGCAGTGCTTTAACCCGCTGCGCCACCAGGGAGGGCCTCATGAATATTTTATATTTTTAAGATGCTTAATTCTTATTGCCACTTTGCTTTTTAGAAAACTATACCAATCCACATGTCCCTAGCAGTGGTGTAAATATAGTTAGACTTCAATTTGTTTACCTTTGTATTAGTTTATAAATAATTATTGCCTGGAACCCTAGTTGATTGCAGTGATTGAGATTAGTCATGTAACTGTTGGTATAGTTGAAAAATGACCCAAACAAATGCCTTATTTCTTTAATTTTTCAAAATGTTGTCTACATTTCCCCACTTCTTCAGGGAGAGACCAATAGGATTATAGCCTCCCACACAATGAACAAAAACTCTTCCAGGTCACATTGCATTTTCACCATCTATGTGGAGGTAAGTGCTAGTTCTTTAAAAAGCCTGGGAAAGGCAGTAGATCCCATGGGGATCTACTCATCAGCAACTTCCCCCTGTAATAATCTAACCTTTGGATGTTTTGCAGGCCCATTCTCGGACCTTGTCAGATGAAAAGTACATCACTTCCAAAATTAACTTGGTGGATCTTGCAGGCTCTGAAAGGCTGGGGAAGTCTGGAGTAAGTGGGGGAAACAGAAGCTTTCTTCTTCACAAACCATGGCTTGTTTTTGGTATAGTGTGCCTGGGCTCTCCCTCACTCGATGTTCATGACCTAGGTGCAGTGGGACAGGTGGCTTAACCTGAGAACTGGAGGGACAAATTAGTAGAGGTAATAATAGCTGCTACATAGAGGCAGTTCCTACTTGATAGGACTATTTATTTATTTATTTATATAAAAAAATTTTAAGGACCCTCCCCAGTGGTGCAATGGGTTAAAGCACATCACTGCCAGTGAGCTGCATCCACTGCAGTGTGAGTTTGATCCCCACATGAGAGGTCCACATGGCGCGGCAGACCTCTCCTGACCTGCCCGCTGCTCTCCTCAGCAGTGTACTCCATCAGTCTGCTAGTTCTGCTCCCTACTCTGTCTCTGCTGAATCTTCTCAGTACCCCTGCCCCCCTCTGGCTTGTACCCCAGTTCTGTATGCATAAATAAATAAATCTTTGAAAATAAAATAAAATAAAATAAATTTTTAAAATTGATAGTTTTTTTTTTTTTAATAGAAGAACTGTGATGTAGGCAAGAAGTGTGGGGAAGAGATTTACCAGAGATAGAATGGGGAATAGACCAGGTGGATCTACTGAAATAGATCCAGAGAGGAGAGGGCTATATGTGGGTTAGGTTAGCTCCCTGGCCGGGGATCAAACTCAGGCCATAGTGTTGACAGCACTGAGACTTAACTCCTTGGCCATCAGGAAAGCCCCCAATTGACAGGGTTTTTGTATTAAATGAGATGATGGCCCCTAAGTTCTTAGCAAGGTGCCTGGCATTCAATAAGCACTTCGTGAATGCTAGTGTTGGCATCTCTGTATGTGTCTGAATATTCACATGAGTATTTTATTTCAAACAAATATTCACATGAGTGTGAGGATGAGCACAAGTATTCCCAAGGGTATGCAGATCACATTCCCATACACATTCGTGTAAGCATTTGTATTTGTGTGAATATTGCCCAAGTGTCTGCACAAGTAGTCCTCTGGGTACTCATTTTAGTGAGACACTAAAGTGAATTTCTGTGAAGAGTGGCATTAAATACTCAAGTTTATGTGAGCATTCACATGAATATTCATGTAAGTATTCCTGTGAGTATTAGTATTAATTACCATGGTCAGCCCAAGATGAAATAGAATACTCTTGTGTGATGTTGAGGAAGGGCCCTGGTTCTGGGAAGGAGGCTCTGGCCTGGCCACCAGGGTGCTTAGTTTTCAGTCTCTCCCCTTGGCCAAAGTAAAACTGACCTTTCGTTTGCAGTCTGAGGGCCGAGTCCTGAAGGAGGCCACCTACATCAACAAGTCACTGTCGTTTCTGGAGCAGGCCATCATTGCCCTCGGGGACCAGAAGCGGGACCACATCCCCTTCAGGCAGTGCAAGCTCACCCATGCCTTGAAGGACTCGTTAGGTAAGGTAGTTTGCATAAGGAGGACAGGCACATCTGTGCCAGTGATGGAGCAGCTCCCTCCTGGTAGCATGGCCTTGCAGTCTTTCATGGGATCTGACATGCCTGAAAGGCAGAATCAAGCAAAGCCGCCTCCTCTTTCACCTACAAAGTGACTTCTTCATCTGCTTAAGTTTTTGCCACTACTGGACATATCTTCTCCTTTCTCCCATGTCCCTAAACCAGCTGGCAGAATCCTTCATTGCCTTAGAGACCTAGATGGGAAGTTTCTCTATGATGTTTCTCCTGCAGCCTCTGCGATAGGAGCAAGGGTTAATCTTTTCATCCTGTGCCTCCAGGCTTTTATGTTGGGTTGATGACATAGTCATGGTGTCTGATTTTAAACTGGGTACCTCCGTGAACAAAGCCCTGGTGCAGAGCATGCTCTTAGCCTCCTCTCCCCCGCTGCTGCATACCCTCTCACCCGCTCACTCTTTCCTCTACCTCCCAGCATCATGCATGCTTGGGCATGTCCTTTCTGACCCTGACTTTGTCAACTCAGGCTGCTATGACAAAATGCATCGCCTGGATGGCTTAAATAACACACATTTATTTCTCATAGTTCTGGAGGTTAGAAGCTCCAGCTCATGGTCTAGCAGAGAGAGGTCCTGGTGAGAAGTCCCTTCCTGACGTGCAGATGGCCTCCTTCCCATTGTGCTTCTACATGGGAGAGATAGAACAAGGCCAGAAATGGAGAGAGCTTGAGTGCTAGGCACCTTCATTTTTTCCTGAGGATGCTAATCCCAACATGGGGGCTTTAGTCTTTGCTTTGGCAGCACATATACCAACATGGGGGATCCACCCTTAGGACTTCATCTAAACCTAATTACCTCCCACAGGCCACACCTCCAAATATCATCCTATATTTGGGGGTTAGGACTTCAACATGAATTTAGGGGGGGCACACAAACATCCAGTCCATAATAGACTTCTACTAGCCTCAGAGAAATCCCCTGGCAGAAAACCCACATGGTTCATGGCCCTTCTGTGTCCTGCTTCCTGTAGGGGGAAATTGCAATATGGTCCTTGTGACAAACATCTATGGAGAAGCCGCCCAATTGGAAGAGACGGTATGTAAATACTGCAGACAGGTTGGAATCCCTCCTCGTGGGTGACAGGGCTGCAAGGCTTGCACGGAGCTGGCTCAGCAGGCCCACTGGCATAGACATAGTCTATGTCATAGAGCGGAGGATTAGGGCAGGCATCTGAGCCAAAATTGCTGAGGGGGGCCCAGTTCAGCTAGAGGGCCTGAGAGGAGGTCTGAGAGCCAACTTTGTGGGGACAAAGGTCAATGTTTCTAAGGCATTGTTCTTGTGAATTGGGCTGGTGAAGGACAGCTGATTCCTTGTTCTTTACAATCACACATTTAAAAATATTGAAAAATGTCCCAGGTTCCCGGCTGAGGTTATAAGGCCGGAGTGAGCAAATAGGTAGTAAGCACCTGCCATGTGTAAGGTAGTGAGCAGGGGGTGGGGGAGAGCAGCTCAGTAGAGGTAAGTGATTTATGGCCTCTGGCTTCAGAGTTCCAAGTCAGGGTTCTAAATAATGAGCGGCCTGGAGAGAGCAGCCTTCAGAGGTAGGGAGTGGTGTTTCCTAAAACTGGGGTGAGGAAAGTGAGCACTGAACTAGGTGGCTGGGTTGAGGAGTTGATGCAGGGCAGCATAGATGCTTCTGTCAGAGGAAACTGGTCCTGAAGGTGTGGCCCATGCCAGTAACATCTGGCTCCCACAGGGGCTGGATGGGCCCTGGTGGCAGAGGCCTCAGGCGTTCTGCAAGTGGCTGTGGCGGTCACAGGTTTGAGTAGGGGAGGGCTGTGACTCAGATTAACCCAACAACAGAATATAGGTGCCGTGGAGAATAGAGAAGTGTATGAGAACCGGGGGAAGAAATAACAGGCCTGACAGAGCCAAGGTAGTGACACAGGTCAGCCCATGCAGCTGGGCACTAGGCTGGGCTTCCCTTCTTCCTCTGAAGGGCCACCCACTAATAAGACAAGCTTAGAAAGCTCTCTTTAGATATTTTGGTTTCCAAGTGTGGGTGTTTCGGACATGCTTCAGTCATCTAGAGACCTCACTTAGATGAAATGTCATTTCCAGGAACCCAAGATACTGTAGGCAAGAGGCTCCTCCAGGGTCTCCTAATTTGTGCTTTGGGGACAGTCCAGGCCTCCAGAGAGAGCTTTCCCACCACATACCCAGTACTCTGGGACTTGGGAGGCCAGGTAGGGGAGCTCTGTCTGACGTTAGGGCTCCGTCCCCAGAGGAGGCTTCAGGAACATTCTGGTCTCAGAGCATAACAAAGCTGGGTTAACCCCAAGAGGATCCAGAAGAAAACTGATGTCCTCCAAGACAGTGGAAGGGCCCTTTCTCCCCTTACCCTCGCCCCTGAACACAGAGGAAACAACTCTATGGTATGTGCTGTCCCCAGACAGCACATGGGATGGGGCCCATACCGCTACTCTGGGTCTCTGCCCAGGAATGAGCCAACAGGGCCTGGTAGAGATGTTTGAAAAGCCTTGGGGGTTTGGGCCAAGGGGTTTGGAAGCTAATGATTCTTTTGGCAAATATTTTAAAACTTTAAAACCTCCTGTCTTGAGTCATGTTTTGTGTGGTAATACTCACTGGTGTGCAGGAATAACCACAGCAGGGTCTGTGGCCATACCTGCTGCTCTGCTTAGAGCAGGAGGGTTTGATTTCATCCCGCACAGAAGCAACTCCAACTGTAATGAAGGCCTGCCCTGAAGGGCCAGGAGAGGAAAGCAAGGTCTCCAAGGTGTCTCAGGTTAGTGGGGAGTCATCTGACATCTATCTGGTCTGTTTTTCAGCTTTCTTCACTGCGGTTTGCCAGCAGGATGAAGCTGGTCACCACTGAGCCTGCTGTCAATGAAAAGTATGATGCTGAGGTACACAGGGGCTGTGGGCTGGTGTCTCACTGCAGGGGAGGTGTGTGGGTTTGCTGCTTGGGTCGCATGAGCCTGGCTTCCCTTCCTGTCTCAACCAAAGGTACTCATGCAAGCCTGGGCCTGTCCCTCTCCACTATGGGGCAGACCAGACTCTTTAGTTTCCCTAGAGATCCCTTTGGGGTCACTATGAAGGTGAAAGAGCCAGTTCACTTGTGGGACCCAGGGCGTCTAAGTACCTCTAAGAAAATAGCTTCTATATAGCTGTTTAAGAGCAGGGATAAGTCTGTAGGTGCTGTCTCTCACACTCATCAGAACCTCTTTTCTCCCATCCTGAGTAACCCCTCCCAGTAAGCAGAGATAACCAATCACAGGGAATGTTCAATAAATTGCAATTCCCTGGAAACCTTGGTAGGATTCCATCCTCAGACTAGTACAAATTATTATTTTTATGACAGTGCAAAATGGTGGTGAGGATGTGTAGAAATGGGAACACTTAGCCTATTTGTGATCACAGTGCAATTGATATGATGACTTTGGTGAGCATTTTGGCAACATCTAGCAAAGTAAAAACACATTTACCAATCAGTTAGCTGGCTTTCCTTTTCCACGATGCTGTGGAGTCAGTTCTGAAGACAGGAGACTATGCATGCCCTGAACCCATGACAGACCAGTTAAACTTCCAGATTCTAAATCCTGAAGGAAAACCCCATGGTTCTGTGGAATTACTCACAATTTGGAAGTCGAGAGGGAAAGCTTAGAAGCAGAGCTTCTTAAACTTGATGAGGCACCAGAATCACCTGGTAGGCTTGTCAGACTACAGGCCACGGGACCCATTCTGAGAATTCCTAATTCCACTGGCCTGGGGGCGGGGATGTGACATGAGGGGATTTATTATTCTGGTGACTCCCAGATAACACTGCTGCTGCTGTTCTGGGGTCATACTTTGACAGGAATTTCTGGTTCCAAACCCGGTTCTTTTCTTCATCAGCTGTGTAACTTAAGTCTCAGTTTCTTCATTTGTAAGTTAGGGAAGTAACAGAATCCACTCTCAAAGAGCTGTTGTGAAGAATAAGATATGGCTAGAAATGTCTCAGCACAGAGTTGTCATGGAGTAAGTGCCTGTAAATATTAGCTAGCACTCTACTCACCTCTGCAGTTAGTGGGTATGTTATATAACTTCCAGGCATCCAGTCAGGTGTTCTCGTGTAGTATGTAATGAGACTTTAGAAAGAACTGGACTGGCGGTGCTTATAACAATGAAACATCAGGGATGTGATCTGCAGCCTTTAACAGGAGAGTAGCTGAGTTATGGAGGGAGGAGCCAGAGCTAGAACCATGAGCATGATAATCTCAAGTGAGAAAACAACTTGGGTATTGTCGAGAACGGAAAGGTAGCAGCTGTCCTTTACACCAGGTGTGAAAACTTGCAAAGTCATGCTGGTTGTCATAACAGCTTATATGTGTGTGCAATGGAAGAAAAATGTATGGGAGTGAAAAGATTGAAAACACCAGTCCCTTTGGGGTGACGTTGGTGTGAGAGGGCAGGGAATGGGCCTGGAGTGGAGTGAGGGGTACAGGGGCTTCACATTTATCTAAAAGAGAAGAAGCGGAGTCAGTGTGGCCATGTGCTGGGGTTGGTCATCTCAGCTTTGTGGCATGTTTTCTGTGCTTTTCCATAGCTTGAAGTTCTTCGTATCTGTTCTTATTTGTCTTTTTCTTTCTTTTTTTTTGTGGTGTCCTCTTATATAAGGATACTGTATCGCCACCTCTCAACCCAGCTGGTGGCTATTGTGCCTGACAGTAAGGGTTTCATACACTTTAGTGTGATTTCTCTCCTAAAATCTGCATCACTGGTCCTGGGCAGGCCAGTCTCCCTGTCACTGAATGTGAATGTGTTTATAATTCTTATGATAAGCAGTTTCCTTCACAGACATGAGTTCTTGAGAGAGGCATGGACAGTTACTGGTCACTGCTTTCCCCGGATCATAGCCAGTCTCTCCGGGCTGTTTCTAGCACCGTTTTCAGGACTGATGCCTGTTTTCATGGGGTAGACAACCTTCTACAGGATCTCCCTGGCTAGCAGGGCTGATTGTAAGGCTGGAGGCTGGGTGGCTAGCCACCTTTGCCACCTGCTCTCTGTGCTGAGATGCTCAGACTGTGTCTCGGGGTATCATCTGTGACCAGGGAGCTTGAATTACTGACCTCCAGTGATCCTCGGCTCTGTCAGTTCAGTGTGATTCTGTGAGGTGATGTCAAAGTTGTGAGCTGCAGGCACAGATAGCAGAGAGACTGGGGTATTCCACTCTGCCAAGAAAAAATGCACCTGTAGGTGGCAGTGGGGTCAAAATAGGGACAATTCTTAGAGTTACTCTCAGCCCTGTGCAGGACTTAAACAGAATTCTTCGAATTATCATTATGATCATGATGGAAACATCTGACTGTCAGGGAATGTATGTGCTCTCAAGGCATTGTCTTCCATCCAGAAGGCATTTCTGATTTTTAGAAAGGAGATGATCAACCAGGAGGTGCTGCCAGACCCTGTTCTATGGGGTCTGCAATTCCAACCCTGTGCTTCCAAGCAGCTTCTCTTCAGTCAGTAGAAGTTGGAGCCACTAATCCTCCCAATCATTAGGCCATCGGTGCCAGTGTTATGTATGACATGAAGGCTAGGGACCTATAGGAGCATCTGGACCATTTCCCCACATTATTGACCCGAGATCTAAGCCTGGCTCCTCATGCCACACTGGACAGTATCACTCAGCAAGAGGGCCCAAAAATCTCTGTCAAACTTTCCCTCTCTGGGAAATGGTGTATTTTCTAGAGCTGAGATCCCTGAACTGGGAGAAGGCAAGGGTTGAGTAGGGGCTGAATTTTTCCTATTTACCACATAGGAAGTACACCTAGAGAAGACTATCTCGGGATGCCCAGAGTGGCAAGAGCAAGGGTTTATACCCTGGCCATGTGTCTTGAGTTCAGGCTTTGTGCCCTGAATTGCCACAGAGCCACCAGGTGACAGGGTTTTGTCATCCTTTGCTGTAGACGGGTCACAGCTTTGGTAATGAGTCCCAGGATGCTGTTTGTCAAGGGCTCCCCCCAGCGGGCATTTAAAAAATTTATTCTTTTAGACTGGGAATCACCTTTATTGGCTTGACTGTTAATGCCTGATAATTTAAAAAAATAATATAACAGTTTATTTTTACATCATTTGTACACTTTTCCATCTCAGTTGTAATCCCCTTTGGCTTCCCATCACCAAATCACCCTGTGCATTTCCCACCCCTCAATGTTTTTGGTCTCATTCCCCATTCACCCCCATAAAGTGTCTCTAGTATATAGGTGTTTATTATTATTGTTATTATTATTATTATTATTATTATTATTATTATTTTCTCGCCTCGCCCTTTATACTCCTGCTATGAGTAAAACCATTTGGTATTTTTCCTTTTCTTTGTGGCTTATTTCACTAAGCATGATCTTTTCCAGCTCCATCCATGTTGCTGCAAAAGGCATGTGTTTATTTTGTGTGTGTGTGTGGTTGCTGAGTAATATTCCACTGTGTAGATGTACCACATCAAAAATAAGGATTTTTAAAAAGAGTGAGGTGGCTTGGGAAGAGAGCTGCAGTTTTGTATGGGGTGATTGATGTATGCTTAATTTAGAAAGTTTTTGAGCAATGACATAAAATTAAAAGCTAGTTCTAAGGGAGTAGAACTAGCCATGGAACTACCTGGGAGAATTTCCTGGGGCAGATTAGATATGCATTGCCAAGGTGAGGGTGTGTCAATTTGGTGGGAGTGGGGTGAGGTGGAAGAGAGGAGTAGAAAGTAAGGGGTGATGGGGCAGGTCACATAGAGCCTCATCAATCATGGTCTATCCTACAGAAGCTTGTAAGATTTCAAAGATATAAATAAAATGTTTTTACAGCATTGTTTATAGCAGATGAAAATTGGAGGTGACATAAGTGAGTGTGAGTGGGGTGTGGGGATACATTTGTGCAGTTGTTGGGAAGGATGAGGGTAAAAGGTACAGAGTTCCTGGAAAGCATTCTGGAGCTATAGCTGCAGTGGACCAAAGAGAAGTACCTAGAGCTCCCGGGAACTGGGATTTAAGGTGTCCTCTGGATACCTGTGCTCACTTTAGTCTTAGTCTCTTAACTTTAGAGGGAAAGGTCAGGGGATACCTCCTCAGACTCTAAATTTACCCCAGTGGGGAAAAGTCACCAGTGAAGATTCCCCCAGAATCATCAGATACTCAGCTCACAATCCATGGATGATCAGGAAGCACCAGGATAGCTGGGCATAAGGACTGGGAACTGTGGACTTGATCTGAGACAGGCAGAGTGGCCTCTCTGACCTCTCCCTGTCCAACTATATTTCACTGACAGCGGATGGTCAAGAACCTGGAGAAGGAACTGGCACTACTCAAGCAGGAGCTAGCCATCCATGACAGCCTGGTAAGGGGCTAGAGGTGGGGGGAGGGGATTCTGGAGTGCTTGAGGGGCTGGGATCAGGGTACCAGGTAGGCAGAAGGACTGGGTCAGCAGGGGGACAAGCAGGCAGAGAGACTGGAAGAACAGAGACTGGGGAGGGGGCCAGAAGAGCCGGGGTGAGGGGCACTGGGAGCAGGAGGATGTAAGTCAGAAAATGAAGGAATTAAGGCAGGCAGAGTCAGGGGAAACAGGAGCAGGGGCTTAAAGGTCTGGCAAGTAGGGGTTTGGGGGCAAAGAGCATGAGGGGTCAAGGTCAGGAGAGGTGGGGCTCGGGTGGGGAAGGTGGGTAGCATGCAGTCAGGGAGGCCATCTACATGGTCTGGTGGCCATCTGGAATATTTATTATCCAGGCAGAGGCAGCCCCTTTCTGTGGCCCCCACCCTACAGGCTGCCACGTCTCAGCCAGCAGAATCCCTTTGTTTGGAGTAGCAGGACCCTTGCTGAGCAGCCTTTCCTTGCTCCCTCACCTAGTGGCCTCACAGTGACTTGAACACCAAATGAGTGCCAAGAAGAGTCGCCCTCTTCTCCAGAGCCTGATGGTGAAGAGGATGGGTACTGTGGGCACCCAGCCAAGGCCTGTGCCCCTCCTCCCACTTATTTCTCAGCATGTTTCCTGTTGTCCCTGTTTCGGTTCAGGTGCTTGGAACTTACATATTCTTATTTTTCCTCCAAGGCCAACAGAGCCCTTGTGAACTATGACCCCTTGGATGAAATTCAGATTGCAGAGATCAACTCCCAAGTGCGGAGGTACTTGGATGGCACACTGGATGAGATTGACGTAAGGATCCTTTCCTTGGGACCACCATGGCCAGCAGGGCACCCTGGGCACCCTGTTTCAGGCCTGGCCCAATTTGTGCTATACAGGCCTTAGAATTCCACTTTGAGTGGGTACGGTGGGCTTAGGGTGGGTGCTGCTGAACCCCGGCCTCAGGGGCCCTTCAGCCTACCAAGCTTCAGCTTCCATATTTAGGATTACAAAACTGTGGGTGCCCATGGAGCAGTCAACTCGCTTGAGCAGCCTTGAACTCACAGGAGGTGGTCCCTTACCGGGAGCACAAAGGCCCTGGAGTTAGGCTTCTTGGATTGAATCCCAGCTCAGCTGTCTCTCTGCTAGTGACCTCAGCAAAACACTTAACCTCACCTATGCAGTGGAGAGGGAATCCAAGCTGGGACTAATTGAGCTTATCATCTCAGGTGCTCAGCTGTGCCAGGCAAAGTGAGGCCTTCAAGGGATGATGAGCAAGAAGGAGACAGAGGGAAGGCCCCTCGGGGGAAAAGTTTTTTATCGTGCAGGCCATCAATCCCTCAGCTGGGAGCTACTTGGGCAGACCCCCTGGCATGTCACTGTGGGCGGCTGGAAGAGGCAGGCCTGGGACAACCGAGGGTGGGCTCTTCTGGTCTTCCCAGAAGGGGGAGCCCCAGACAGACCGAGGGCCAAGGAGGTAGCTGACCTTCCTCGGACCACAGATGTGTTTGAGTCTGTACCCACACAGAAAAGTTCACAATGGAACCTTTTGGAACCAGAAAGAGGACAATATGTTTTTTTTTTTAAGATTTATTTATTTATTCATACAGAACTGGGGTACAGGCCAGAGGCTCAGGGGCGGTGAGAGGCTTCACCAGAGACAGAGTGGGGAGCAGAACAGGCAGATCGACGAAGTACACTGCTGAGGGGAGCAGCGGGCGGGTCAGGAGAGGTCTGGCTCGCCATGTGGTCTCCTCCGGGGCAGGCGGCAGGCGGGAATCGAACTCATGCGGAAGTGGCTTCAGATTCTCAGTGCTGTGCTTTAACCCGCTGCGCCACCAGGGAGGGCCGAGGACAATATGTTTTATTAAAACAGTATTTTCAAGCCCTGGAGTAATTTTAATTTTATATATCTTCACTAACAAAAGGCGATTTTTTATGGCCTACATAAATGTTTAATGTTTAAATTATTGATCAGGTGTTTCTCTGTTCTTGAGGGCTTACTCTGTCTTCAGGAGAAGCTGTTTGCAACGTCCCATTCTTGAGCAGATGGTCTGAGGGAGTAGCCAAGGGATCCTGATTTCTCAACTACATAGATACAGGTGCAGTCCCGGGGCTACTGAGGTCTAACCTCTACTTTGTTCTCTTCTCTCCAGATAATCAACCTCAGACAGATCCAGGAGGTGTTTAACCAGTTCCGAGTGGTTTTGAGGTAATGGACACTCCTACTCCCACGTCAGGCTCTCATTTCACTTTAAATGGCTTGGAAAGCCTCCTCAAGCACACTGCTCTGGTGCCCCTGAGCATGCTCAGACCTGCAGTCCCTGACAGTCACTGCCTCAGAGCTCTCAGATCCTCTGCCCTGCTCTTTCCCTGGGGGAAACAGGGAGGACCACCCTCCAATTAACCAGCAGCTACTGAGGAGGAGATGACCCCTGATGGATCTTTCCTGAGTTCACTGATTGAGTGCCAACCTGAGTGTGGCTGACATGGGGCATTGTGAATAGTCCCTGCCCCATCTCCCTCTTCATGTGGCATTTGAGATTTACTTGGGTACAGACATAACCTAGATGACTCATGCTGTTTTCACAGAGGCTGATTCAACAGCTTGGAAAGGGCTGTTAGAGACAGAACCGAGGCAGGGAATCGTGATCCAGGGCAGTTTTCTAGTCTGTGTAAAGGTCATCTTAGGGCAGATTTACTTGGCATGTAAGGTGGCCCCTCAGATGCTTTGGCTTTGGGGCCGGACAGTGGTGTGTATATTATGAGTGGTGGGCAGGGGACGAGCTTTTGTCTGCCCTGGTTCGTGATGAGGGCATAGCTCTATCACAAGGGGCAATACCCAAATGACTTATAATTCCAGTACTTGGTAATTGCCCTGGTGGATTCATGGCTCCATGAGAAAGGTGTTCTCTCATTCTCTCTCCCAAGTCATCAGGAACAGGAAGTAGAGTCCACCTTACGCAGGAAGTACACCCTCATAGACAGGAATGACTTTGCAGCCATTTCTGCTGTCCAGAAGGTAAGCACAGCTGCCTCTTATTGACAGTGTTCACTTCAGATTTTTAAATCCCCAGACCTTTCCAGAACCAACCGTGTCCTGCACTAAAGCGTAGCTAGTATTACAACAGATAGAGGTAACACCAAGATGAACGTGGAGTGACTCACATGAATTCAAGATGGTCTTCATAAATTAAAGACACGAATAATAACTAATTCCTGGAGTTAGTCTAATTAGTTAGGTCGAATAAAGATATTGGGTCTTAATATCTTCAGGGTATGGAATGGGACACCAAGCCAGAGTGAGGAGTTGACATGGGAAAACGGACATTTGGTAAGGTGATCAGAGACAGTGCGATTGGGGATAGCGTGAAGCTGGCAGCAGCAGCAGATACAGCCCAGATGAACACGCTCATTTGATTCTTCAACCCTATATTCTTGGGGACTCAAACCCTTAATCTAACCCACAGCCCTGTCTCTGGCCTCTGTCCAGGCAGGGCTCATGGACATTGATGGGCACCTCGTGGGTGAGACTGATGGACAAAGTTTTGGACTCGGGGTCGTGCCCTTCTCTTCTAAACCTGGGAAGAAATCCAAGTCCAAGAGGACACTGAAAGAGCAGCCCAGGTGAGTGAACTGTAGCTGCTCTACCTGCTTAGCACCTGGCTCTTCTAGACTGGTGAAAGGACACAAGCTGTCCCCTTGTTCCCCTGGGGCCTTAGCTACCGAGTGGTCACAGTGGCTGTCACTACTGCTAATACTAGCTATGTATGAGGGGCTCAGGCTGGGGCCTGTCACCTCTGATCACTTTTTAGGTAGGACCTGTATGTGTATGCAAGGTGGGAAGAGTGTTAGGGTTCACTTTATAAGCAGCCCCCCTTGGGAAGTGCTGTGTAGCAGTGGAGAAGAGCACAGGCCCTGGACTCACCTCCCTGCGCTCTACTTCTTTGATTCCATTGGTTCCACTGTGTGAGGCATGAAGGCTTATCTGTGCCTCCCTTTCCTCATCCCTAAAATGGTAAAATAGCTTCAAAGTCATTGGGTTTGTTGTGAGGGTGAGGGAGTAAGCGCAGACCCTGTCTGAACGTTACCTGTTTTTATCACCTGTGAAAACACAAGCCAAAGCTGATTATAGAAGACCGTCACAGGCAAGGCCAGTGCCCTGGCCACCTCTTCAGACAGGGCACGCATGCCCCAGCCCTCTCTGTGCTGCCTCTGGGTAATCAGTGCAATAATGGATGAGTTGAGGCTTACAAGAAGAGAAGAGCAAACAGTGGAAAGAACTGTAGAAACCCTTCTATCATTCAATCCTACTCAGATGTGCCTCTGGGAGGGAGGATCCCTGGATTTGGAGAGGGGGGTCGGCTGCTTTCTTGAGAACTGCTGTGGGCATTGATATAGGAAGGGAGAGCAGGCCATGGACTGGTCAAGCAGCAGACAGATTCCTCCTGCTTTACCATTATTGTGACCCACCTGAGCAGGACTCTGCCACTCCTCCCCAGGTGCCTATGTGACTAATACTTCAGCAGCTATGGTTTTCCTGAGAGTCTGAAGCCCAGACCAGAGGTCCACATGCTTTCAAACCTGGAGACTACCCATTCTCCCTAGGAGTCTCCTGCTGAGATTGTTCTGATAGGAGAGAAAAAATGCTCTCCTTTTCCTCCCCATCTGCATGATTCAAGGTCTACTCTTTGCTTTTTGACCTAGGTATGCAATCAAGATAGGATCTGAGTGGGATGGGGCTTTGGTATATTAGGACTAAGAAAGGTTACTCCTCTCAGCACCTGAGACATCTTCTACCCATGACTGAGCTCTAGTCTCCTTACCTTCTTCCAGCTCCTCAACAAGAAAAGAAGGTGCCAGCAGCCCTGTAAGTGGCAAGGATTTGGATGTTGCCATCTCTAAGACCCAGCTGACTTTACCCTCCAAGGATGGAGATGTCAAAGACATGCTTCTGCGGGACCGGGAGACTTCCAGCACTGAGCCCCTTCCCTCGGACTCCCCAAAGGAGGAGTCACGCCCACCCAGGTGACCATCTAATGTTTTAAAAAAAAAAAAAAAATTTTTTTTTTTTTTTTTAAAATCACCTTCAGGGCCCTCCCTGGTGGCGCAGCGGGTTCCAGCACTGAGCCCCTTCCCTCGGACTCCCCAAAGGAGGAGTCACGCCCACCCAGGTGACCATCTAATGTTTTAAAAAAAAAAAAAAATTTTTTTTTTTTTTTAAAATCACCTTCAGGGCCCTCCCTGGTGGCGCAGCGGGTTAAAGCACTGCACTGAGAAGCTAAAGCCACTTCCGCATGAGTTCGATCCCCGACTGCCCCGGAGGAGATCCACATGGTGTGGCAGACCTCTCCTGACCCTTCCGCTGCTCCCCTCAGCAGTGTACT